CTTCAATCCCCACGCCCCAAAATAAATAAATAAATAGATATACCAATTTTAGGAAAAGTAACGAAGTTTGAGCAGTGTGGGTTTTATAATTAACAGAGTTACACATATTTCAAAACGCGAAGTGTAATAACTGCAGGTTGCCTCCCTGTCAGAATGACAAAGATCCTCAGTGAAGCACAAGCCCATATTTCTCTACATTGTACAACTTATTAAAAAGATCAGTTCAATGCAACTAATGTCCTCAGTGTTATTGCATGATGTTAAAATTGGTTTGCCATGAATTTAGTGATGGATTGTAAACATTTGAAATGTAGCATTTAAGTGTTTCTCAGTTACAAGGTTGTTGTTTTAATAAATCAGACACTGATGGTGCAGCACTGTACTGTACCTCTTTATAGGCATTTTTTCCTTAACAAATTGTTTTTGCGCTGATCAGGGGGTCCTCACCATGTTCCCCCGGGAAGATTTTTTTTTAAAATATTGAAGTTAAAAGCATAAATCTGGTGCACTTTGAGAGCAAAATGAAGAGATCTGGATATATCTCAACACCCATATGAAACAGAACTGTAAGCAGGTTTACTATTTCTTTATGGATATTTTACAAATCACTCCCCTTTCAAGACCGAAATGTCTACAGGCATAGCAGAAGATGGCATCTTTTTTAGAGGAATATTCCAGCCAATCTCTGTTGTGAAACCATGAGCTGCAAAATGAGCGCCTTACCCCACTGTACAGGCGAGTTGGGTACTTTTTTTAAATATACCTGGGCAGGCTCTGTTTTCCCGAGGTCCTCTGGCACTTGCGGGCCGCCGAGGGGTGGCGGTGTTTGGGGCAACGAAGACGGCTGCGGCTGCTCCGCCTCCGTGGGCGAGGCGGGCAAAGCCGGCGAGTCGAGCGGGAGGACGTTATTGTGCACGACAGTGGCCGCGGGTAACGTAATCTCCCCATGATCTGAACTGTTATTACCTGCAGTAGATGCAGTGTTACTGCTGGCGATTAGGGCTGGTTGTTTTAACCATTTTCTGATGTCCATCATTGACTGCTGTGTAAGCACTTTGCAAATGACGAACGCGCAGCGGCACAGGTCACCTGACATAATAATGTTACTTACCGTTTAAATTGACCAAATAAATGCAGCAGACAAAGTTATTTAACCACATTTACAATTTATTTTATTTCAACTATATTATTATTATTATTATTATTATTACTACTATTATTATTATTGTTATTATATATGGAATATTTTTCACTTTTAATAAAAAAAAAAAAAAATGCACTTTTATTTTTTTATTTATTTTTCACTTTCAATTTTTCCAATGAGGGTGCATAACAACTCAACTGAGGGTGCAATGCACCCTTATGCACCCCCGTAGAACCGGGCCTGGCCGCACAGCATAAGTTACCATGGAGATCTAGCCCGCTAAAAAGAGAACCAGCGTCCAGTGGCGTTTTCTCCTGGAGGCCAAGGGAAGCCAGGCTTCCCCTGTTTTTTCGGATTGTAGTTATAATTTTAATAAATAAATAAAAACACTTTGTTTAGTTTCGGAAATTCTTTGTTGTGTGTTGCTGCCGGCCCGTCTCTCCCCCATTCTCATTGAGTATTTTACAAAGAGTGAAACAGCGCCCCTCTAGTTGTTATGGTGAAACAGTAGATTGCACTCTCTGTTGCGAGAGGAGGCCAGCCAAAATTGGCTTCCCTTGGTGAAAAAAATGGAGGGATTGACCAATCAGACAAGGCTCACGTCATGCCCCTGCCAACCTGTGATTAGTCAGGGCCATGCCAAGGGAAGCCAGAGGCGGCTGCTTCCCTTGCCTCACAATCCAATCAAATCGCATCAATTTATTGTTGCAGTGACGCGTCCCAAAATCCGGAAGTAAACTGCGCTCGGTTTCCCTCGACAAAAAAGCAATGGGATTTCTCCATAGGATTTTGGAAAATAGCTGGAAATAAGGTCAGTGGAAAACGAACCTGTTAGATAAATGCATGTTTTGTTCAGTCGGATAATATCCACATGTCTACCCTACTTTTATAATTTTATAATCATAAATCTAATCGATAGAAGATAGATAGCGTCACTGCATCACTCTCACCGCCGTTAGAAAGTAGCAAGCAACTGAAGCAAGTGCAATTATGGAGGGTGGAGATTTGGAGTATTTCATCAAAAATAATTGTACTAAACTTCTGCTACAGCAGCAACAACAAATACAATCTGATGACAGGCCGATGCCCAAACTGGAGCTGTGTACAGCGAGGAAAAAAGGAGCGAATCGGACGTAAAACGTGAAAGGTCTCCTGATTTAGTTTGTGAATGAATGCTTATTAGAGTTTGGGCTGGAGAGTGCGTGCGGACCTGTCGGTTAGATAACAGGCGTGTGTAAGTCCTGCATCTGTATGATACAAATGTGTGTAAAATGATACCGGGCGCTGTAATCACTCATCTGGTTACGTTATCACATTGACCACCACACCCCGACCCAAAAGAAAGGACGTATTATTGGCTTCCCCTCATATTTTCCCCACGCCACGCTACTGCCAGCGTCGTAGGACCGGAAACCCCGAGTTTTCCCTGAAGTTAGCCGGCTAAGCGAAAATCCTGCTTCGTAGTACAGGCCTCAGCTTGAGTGCGCTAGAATTTGAAAATACAGAGCCCCTCCTCCAACACACACAAACGCGCACATGACCAATGAGGGCACGAGATAAATTTGTGCACAGATGGAAGGCTGACAGGCAGGAAGGCCATCCAGTTATTTTAGCCGGGCCGGCTCAGATGATTGGTCGTGCTTTTTACAGTACCACGGCTTCCACAGATGAAATCTTTTTATGGATTTATTGTCAAAGCACTTCAGATATTCATTGCTATCGGGATGTTAAGAGCATTCCATGGAATATAACAACAAGTGTATCTCGAGCCGGTTTCTCAAACTTATCTACCCCACCTTTAATCTCCGAATTCTGACTTTTACATTTTTTCTCAGAACTAAAACAAAAAAAATGGCCAATGTGGCCCTAATCCTTTTCCGTACAAATCTAAATCTAAAATGAGCCGTGAACTAAAATAATGGATAAATATAGAACTCAACAGAAAGAGATAAACCTGTGAAACCAGGCTAAGACTCAAAGCCACACACACTAGGGGTGTAACGGTACACGTACCCGTACCGAAATTATTCGGTACGGGCCCTTCGGTTCGGTACAGATGTGTACTTTGCTCACATTGGGTTCAACGCGTCATAGAGCGAGCAAGTCATTTAATTGGACGAGAGGCATACTATGAGAGCTGGTCACAGGGATGCGTTCAAATGTAGTCAGTAATTTGAGGAACTGTCGAAATGGCGAACGCAGATAAAGTTGAGCTCGAAAATCCTCCAGCATCATTGAAGTCTCCGGTTTGGGAACATTTTGGTTTCGCAGTTACGTACAAGGATGACGGACAAAGACAGGTGGACCGAACCAAAGCTGTTTGTCGGCATTGTTCAACTAAAATTGGTTACGCGGCTGGCAATACATCAAACTTGCACACTCATTTGAAAAGGCATCACCCGAACGTGAATATCACCGGTACCAAAAGAAAAAAGACTGAAGTGCAAACCCAACTCCCACTAGCATTTAAGCCTCCACCACTCGCAGAGAGTTCAGACCGAGCCAACGCTATTACAAACACCAAATATCCTTATGTTGCCGTGTTAGCAAAGCGCTACCTGGCTGTGTCTGCTACCTCCGTCCCTAGCGAGAGGGTGTTCTCCACAGCAGGAGACTTTGTTAGTGCCAGCAGATCTGCCCTTTCGGCAAGCAATGTGGACAAGTTCATCTTTCTTTTAAAAAAACATGAAAATACAATGACAAGCAAGTCATTATGTCAAACTGGCTGCTTAGGTACTAGTACAGTAAAGTTCAAATACAGATTATTTCAGTTCATCGAAATGCTGCACCTTAATGTTTATTTTATTATATTTTGTATTTATTTGAGTGAATACATTATTCACAGTTTAATAATAATAAAAAAAAAATATATATATATATTTTGTTTTGTGAAAAGAAATTCTGCTGAACCGAACCGTGACCAAAAAACCGAGGTACGTACCGAACCGAAATGTTTGTGAACCGTTACACCCCTAACACACACACATTCACACACACACACACGCACACACACACACACACACACACACACACACGCACACACACACACACACACACACACACACACACACACACCATGTATTCATCACTTCAGGGGACATTACATTGACTTACATGCATTTCCTGGAGACTTATCTTAACCCTAACCCTTACCCTTAACCTTACCCTTACCCTAACCAAGTCGTCACCCTAACATTATTGATTCCCCTCATGGGGACCTCAATTTTGTCCCCATAAGGGAGGCGAGTCCCCACACATGACTGTGTAGACAGATTTAGGGTCCCCACAAGTATAGTAATGCTAGGCCACACACACACACACACACACAGACACACACACACACACACACACACAACACACACACACACACACACACACACACACACACACACACACACACACACACACACACACAGTTTGAGACTGCAGCTGGACATGACCAGCAGCAGGTGAGTCTGCAGGAGGACTCCCCATTTTTCTTTTCAACGTTTGTCTGCAAGAGCTCACCTGACATGAAGGAATAATCTGTGTTTATTTCCCTCACGGGAGATTTGATCTACTGCTCGGGGATTTGACCTTTTTATCTTCATGGGAGGTTTATCTATCTTTTTGTTCTGACCTTTTTGGTGTGTTTTGCTGCGTCGATGATTTTTCATCTACAAACGCAATCAACTTGCACATGGTTATTTTTTTGGAGTTACAAACCTTTAATATGAATTCAGTGGCAAAGAAGTGATGATGAACCTCTCATATTATCTTGGTTAATACCTTTTCCTTATCTGAATACAACCAACAGTGAACACCCTGGATGTTTCCTGTCTGTACATGTGTGTCTGTTGCTCCTCTCTTGGTGCAGGAGGTGTTGAAGCAGCTGCAGAGTAAACTGGAGCAGGAGGCAGGAACACTGGCCTCGTCCGGCAGGAGCGATGTGCTGGACCAACTCAAAGGTATCAAGGATCAGTTATTGTCATAAAAGATAGGAGGGATTCTACCGACTGTTTCTGAGGCTCCGCTGGGACAAATCGTTATTCTCAGAGAAATGAATCGACTCAATCAGTTAACCTGATTGGATGCAGACGGCTCTGCTCGTTATGATTCAATCCAATTAAACAACCAATTCATGTCAATTAGTTTGTCTGGACTGAAATTAGATGACTACAACTGAGAGCAACAGCAGCTGCAATTATAGGATTAAGTCAAATTCAGTTTGAAAAAATAAACAACACATAGATGTATGGGAGAGTGGAAGGAAGCAAGGAAGCAAGGAAGGAAGGAAGGAAGCAAAGGAGGAAGGAAAGAAGAAAGGAAGGAAGGAATGAAGTGAGAAAGGAAAGAGCAGAAGATAAAGCAATTATTGTAGGAGGTATCAGGTAAGGGGTAAACAAGGAAATTAAGATATGGAATGGTATAGGAAGGAAGGAAGGAATCAAGGAATGAAGCTAGGAAGCAAGTAAAGGACGGACAATTAAGAAAGGAATGAAGCTAGGAAGGAAGGAAGAACAATTAAGGAAGGAAGGAAGGAAGGAGGAAAGATTGATTGATTCTTTGTTCCTCCCTTAGAGCTCCACATGGATCTCACTAACTACTACGAACTGAAGCATCAACCCCACAACCTGAGGCTTCTGATGGGCGGCGTGGGGGGGGCAGGTGGGGGAGCGGAGGTGGAGGACCGCCTGGCTCTGCCTCCTTCCTCCTGCTCCTCTTCCTCAGCGGTAAGCAGAGCCAGGAGTCCGCTCAGGGTGCTGTCCCGTCTGAGCTCAGGGTCCGGGGGGGAGGCCGCTATGCTGCCACATCACTTCCTGGAGGGAGCGCCACCCAAAACAGCTGTGATCAGTGGAGCTGACGGGCGGATGAGCGACCACCACCAGGAGGAGCTGTACAAGGAGAGGTAGTATCTTTACATTCTGCAGATACATGTAAAGTACGTTTAATGGACAGATGTTCCATTTACAGTGCAACTGCTATATGTAAAGCTTCACACAGATTCCACCTGTGTATACAAAAATACATTTAAGAGAAAGAAAAAAAAAACATGTAATTATGTACTAGTACTAACGTACGAGTACTAAAGCTAAACAATTATAAAGAACATACGAAATACATTTGAGAAAATGCATCAACTTAAAAATAAATACCATTACAAATGTAAAAATTACAATTTAGTAATAATAATATTGTTAAATCAAATATAAAACAAATGTATTAATGGGGTCAAATGACTGTACTCTGCACCACAAGCCTCAGTTTCCATGAATGGGTTTCTTCTCATTCCACAAAGAGTAAAGGTATAAAACCCTTTATCTCCATTATTATTTGCACTGGTGATGGAGCCTTCAGCAGAACAAATCAGATCCAGTATTTACCGGTATCCAAACCAAAGAATGCTCTGATTTATTTGGACACATTCCTTTCCAATTGGCCACTAATGGGTTCAAATATCTAGGCATTTTTGCCTCCTATAATTTAGAAAATGTGAATAAAATGAAATTGGACCCGGTGGTGAATGTGATCATCTCCAAAGATGGAGCCCTCTGCCAATACCACTGCTGGGACGGGTTGCCCTCATCAAGATGAATGTCCTGCCAAGGCTTTTATATCCAATGCAGATGTTGCCTAATTATATCCCAGCTAAGTTTTTTAAATCACTTCATAGTATAATAGGTACATTTGTGTGGAAATCTAAACGCCCAAGACTTAAGCTGGAGAAAGTGCAACTACCTTTAGATAAAGGGGGATTAGCACTTATTATGTTTTATCACTGGGCGTCACAATTTAGATATATTACAGAATTGTTAAAATATTATCCTAATTCTACATTTCTTGATTTGGAAAATAAAGGGTGTGAGCTCTTAGACATGCCATTTATAAACAACGCAATTTCACTACATGGGAATAAAGATAACTTTATTGTTAAAAATACTCTTAAAACATGGAATCAGATACGAAGGTATTTTGGGATAATAAATCAATAATCTGCTTTAGCTGCAATTGTATGTAATCCTGCTCTGCTTTGGACTTCAAAGTCTGGAACATTTCTGGTATCCTTAAAATAAGATCTCTGTTTGGGAGTCAGTGCAAACGGAGATCAGAGAAGTGTTTGGCATAGATATATATTTTAACCCATATAACTTTGTCCTCAGATCAGTTTGAAATGACGAACATAGACATAGGCACATTATTGGTATTGCTCTGTATGCAGCACGACTCACTTGAAAGAGATAATGCTGCTGTGCTAGCATTAGCATTCCTGAGGCTAACGTGATATCTGTGTGGCATCCACAGGAACCTCCTGCTGGGGGAGATCGACCGCGAGGAGAGGGAGCGCTGCTGGTACTTCAGCCAGCTGGAGGCGCTGTCTCAGAGACTGGCTCAACTGCCCCGCATCGACACAGTGAGAAAACACACATACACACACATACACATACACACACACACACACACACAACACACACACACACACACACACACACACACACACACACACACCACACACACACACACACCACACCCATACAGACACACACACATGAGCACCTGCATCAGCATTAGTGAAACATGTGCGCTATTGCGCCTAATTTACATTACATTCAGATCAATTAAACAAAAATATAAACATATACATTATGATATGCAATAAAGACTTTATTAGATATAACTTTATTCAGGTAACTGACACGTTTTTACCAGCATGAACATAAATGCATGAATCACAATACAATCATATATTTTTTAAATGTTTTATGAAATTGGCCATTCTGCATACATCTTTTTATTTTGGTAGTCAAAAGTACATTTGAAATTTGAAACCTTTTACTATAACTTTAAAATTAAAATTTACTTGAGTAAAAGTTATGATATGTTTTCCAAATGGGGCCAAGGAGTTGATGTTAAGTTCAATAAGTTACTTACATGATTAATAAGTCAACTGACTGTTGTGGCTCTACACAGGAAGTCACCTTCTGTACTGCATTTGTCAAAATAAAAGATCAGATTACAGTAAACATCAACAATTCTGGTTTTCTTTGGCTCACAGTGAGTAAATCAGATGTGTGTGTTGTTTCAGTTTTCTCTGCAGATGGATCTGATCCGGCAGCAGCTGGAGTTTGAAGCTCAGCAGGTTCAGTCTGTGATGGAGGAGCATTTCGGCACCAGTGATGAAGTGGTCCAGAGGACGCAGGTGAGAAACAGCCTGCTGTTTATGCTCCTTCTGCTACAGCAGATCATGTCATTCAATCATTTTATGAACAATGCAACAGAATCTTAATTCATTTGGATTCATTTTATTAAATGAGTTTGATGAATCGGTGTCGATGGTATGCAGCACAGACATGTCTGAACAGTGCATGGTGTGTATGTTGTAGATTCGTGTTGCTCGTCTGGAGCAGCTGGAGGAAGAGCTGCAGGAGGCCCGAGGCAGTCAGGAGACCCAGCTACAGGTCCGACATACAGACAACACACATCACACACACAATACACACACAATCACCACAACAGAAATGCACACACATAACAGCAGAAGAGCAAATATAAAGGCTGATTAATGTTTCTTCCAACAAGTCGGACCGGGTCTCTTCTGGTCTAAGTCAGTCGGTGTTGACAGATACATTAAAATCATATTGTGTTTCATAGTCTCAGTTGATGCCGGTCGTTCTCACACATACTTGTTTATACATGTTTGATTGATGTGTTCAGACCTTAAAGTTGGAACATATGTCTCCACGCTTAATGCGGATAAACGGGCCTAGGTGTTGATGCATAAATACTAACAGCTTTTGTGTGTGTAAGGAGCATAATCAACCAATCAGCTTGATGCTGGTGCTTAAGGATAGATCCATTGTGATCCCCCTTGTTCACTGCAGCAGTCGCTCCCAGTCTAACTCCACCTGACACAGTGACACCGACCCCCCGTAGGCCCACACCCAGAAAGCTGGGTACAGAGGCTCAGTGAAGGTGGAAGTGAAGGTATGGAGGTGGACCATGGTGTCCTGAGAGATGCAGTAAAATGACAGTGAGCCTACAGACCAGTTTAGGTAAACCCCGACTCTGTGGCTGAAGGGTTGTGGCGAGGAGGGCCTGAACCTGTCGTTCTGGTGGCACGGCGTGTAGCTTCCCTCTGAACACTCCAGACTCCAGGAGCGCTCGCTGTGTCCCAGCAGACTGCTGCGGGTGTCTCCGTCTCTGGAGATGCTGTTGTAGGAGACGCCAATGTCTGCTCCGCCGCTCCACACCACCTCCCAGTACACCGAGTCCAGAAGCCCCTCCCTGCACAGGACCTGGGGGCAGCGCTCAAACCGGTCCGGGTGCTCCGTGGGCCGGTGGTCCGACCACACCCGGGTCACCTTCCTGTTGCCTTCGGTCAGACGGAGCTCTGAGTTGGCAGTGTTGGGGTCAAAGGTCAAATAACAGGCAACTGAATGAAAAGAAAAGGAACAAGATTATTCATTTCAGCAATTATTACGTTCTCCAACAGAAACTCCAAACAGTGGCTGCAAAACATAGAGGGGTGTACAATCCCTCTATTCTAAGCATTTCATAGAAAGAAAAGCAGCTGTGGCTCCTAATGATGATTCAGGCTGATTGTCTTCAGGTCAACAAAACATTTCATATTATCTAAAAATGTCAAATGATGTTTGAGTTATTCTCTTATTAAAGCTGGTCTGCTGAGGACATCTTTTATAATATCTTCTCATGATTAAAGGAACATAATATAATGTAACAAGTTATCCTATTTTCTGGAGTTTACTCCCTGAACACAAATGTGGGCTCTGCTTAAGCGTTCACACTAAAAGTACAAGTGCAGTATACAGTAGGTGTTTGCTGAAGTGCTGCAACAACAGTAAGCACCATTTGTTTTGAGCTGGACAACCAGTTCTATCCAAAAGAAGAGAGATACAAAAAATAACAAGATACATAAAGAAGATAACAAAAACAAAGCAATTCATTTGTGAAATGAAAATGTTAAATGTTCTAAATACACACATTGTTTCTCAGACAGAACCACCAAATGAAGTGAACTCAGAAGCAGAAAGGTAGAAAGCTTACAGTTTTTCAGTGACCACAAGTCTCCTCCCGGCTGACCGCTGCAGGACCACAAACAACAACATCATTCAGACGTGACGGAGCGCTTTTACTGTCAGCAGAGCTCCCGCGTGTCCACTCACCTCCTGTGGGCTGTGTTGGGGTCTCTCAGATTAATGATACTGGTCTCAGAAGACAGAGGCTCCCAGGAAAGAGTCTCTGATGGTTTGTGTTCTTCTTCTTGTCCTCCTCCTCCTCCTCCTCTTCCTCTTCCTCCTCCTCGTTGTTGTTGTTGTTCTTCTTCTTCTTCCTCTTTTACTTTGTTCACCTTTATCCTCTCGTCTTCTGATGACACTGTAGTTGAGTTGTCATTTTTGTAACTTTCTGAAACAGACAAATCAAATGCAAATGGAGCTCAGTCTGCAGATCTGTAATATATCCAGTTATTTGATTCTGACAGTAAACCTAAGGTATATGTACTGTTGGGTTTTTGAGACAGATGTAAGACATTATAGATTACAAATTGTATTGAGTTACAAAACATGATATTTGACCTCTTAATGTATCCAGCCCTCATTATTATTTGTCTTCCCTTAACTTGCATGACGTATTCAATTTGAGCTAATGAACCCATAGTTACAGAGAAGGCCTATTATTGTCCCTAATGCTGTGATACAAAGACTATGGATAGTCTGTCATGGTTTCTAAATGAATGTTTGGTTGAACAGTGAAAAGATCCAGCCTACCTGCCTGTGGTGTAGGAACCGTCTCCTCAGTTTGAAGTGTTTCAGAAATACTTTTGTCATCAGAGGAAGTTATACCCCCTTCCCTGTCCTCCACTTCGTACATCCTGTCCTTCATGTTTTCTGAGATGTTCTCTCCTCTGACTGTCTCTTCTATGGACTCTGAGAGGTTTCCCCTAAAGCCAGCATCCATTTGTTTCTCCTCCTTCTCTGAGAATACCTTTTTAACTTCCTCAGAGTTCTCTGCTTTTAGGACCCAAGTATTTTGGTCTCTTCTGAAAAGGCTTTCTGCTGTTATTGTAAAGGTGTTGGATGAATCTTCCTTGGCCTTGTTGCCCCTCTCCTTTGAAGGACCCATTCTGAAGATGCTAGAAATGTCGTCTTTAAAATGAAGAAAGCTCAGACGGTTGATGGTCTTCTCTGCTGACTGTCTTGTTTTAGTATCTGTGGACTTGGTCTCTTTCGACAAACTGAAGACGCTGGTCACATCTTCTTTAAACTGGCTCAAGTCCTCTTTCAGGAGGTTGAGCGTACTAATGGCAGGTTCCTTTTCTGCCTGACTTAATGGGTTTGTGTCCTTGTCCCTGAACACCTTCAACACTTCTTCCTTAAACTGGCTCAAGTCCTCCTTGATGAAACTCAGTGGGCTTATGGATCTTATATCTCTCTGACTTGTTTGACGCAGGTCTTTCATCCTCGTGTTTTTGTCTTTCTGGTCTTCTTGTTCACCATCATCAGTCACATCGTCCTTTTGGAGAGATATTTCCGGCACTTTCTGCTCCCTTTCCTGTGTAGGTTCCTCAACATGACTCATTCGTTTGGTTGTATTGTTGGAGACTTCAGAGAGCACCTGTATTATCAAATACATTTTGAATTCGGTAGTTAGTAACAAGTTGTCATTAATACTTGATTATGGTTAGAACTATTCTTCTATTCAGAATCATCCCTTTTTATTTAGCACCTTTTTGTCACTTACACACCCAAATGATGTTCATTAAATCTCCTGGGTTCAAATAAAGTCCAACATTTTAGCAATGTCATTGGGATTAGCATGTGATGTTAGCATACTGGTGTTAGCATGTTATTGAAAACTCCATTGTATGTTAGTGCAGACCCACATAGCTGCCTGCATGACTCTACATTCATTTTGCTTAATGGTTCCCAACTTCAGAAAATACAATGTTACATTTTTTAAATGCTTATTATAGTCCAACCAACAGAGCAAACCCAAAGTGAATCAAAATATATGAACATAAGGTCTGAGGTTCCTGTTGTCTCTACTCCTCTCAGTTCATGTTCAGACTTGTTCTTGAATCTGAATCAATCACAGCGTCTTAGTCAGATACTTACAGCTGCTTTAGCCTCCACGTTTCTGGACATTTCTTCCTTTGAAAACACACCAAGATGATTAAAAACTAATCCACATGTGTGTATCCTCAGTATGAGTGTTGTGGCTGTATCCTGCGTCTCTCTGTGTTGAAAAGGACAGTCGACATTCTTTCATTCAGCTGAACGTGTTTCTGGTTCGACCAGTTTGTCTCCATTTTTTACTCTGACTGCTCAGCAGTCAGTCGTTTTACTCTGTAGTTTTACTCTGGGTGTTCCTGCTTTAGACAAAGTGAGCCCTCGGCTGCTTGTCACTTCTTTAAAGTGTTAGTTTAGGTTTTGATTTTGAGAAAAACTAAAACTCAAGTTTCATTTAAAAATACTCTAAAATGTAAGAATTAAGGTAGTGAATTAAGTTTTGCAGAATTCTAAGTAAAAAAAAAAAATCTTTAAGCAGTTGTTCTATATTAGTTGAAAATAAAATGTATCTAAACACAAAATATGTGTAATGACAAAGAAGTTACTGCATGAACTGATTTGTGCCTGTAAACAAACACATCGTACTGTACACACTTTCACCGTATTGAGTAGCTGATGTTAGACCTTTTTTTTTACTTTAAATGATAAAAGTAAATCCAAAACACAACATTTACCGTTAGATAAGAAAAAGCTTATTAAAAAGTGGTATAATAATATAAATCAATTGTATTTATTGCACATTTTCATATCACAGTTACAAAATGCTTTACAATAAGATTTCAAAATAAAATCCAAAAATTCAGGGACTCAGAGAGAGTACTGCACTTAAGCAAAACATTTTGAGGTACTTGTACTATACTTAAGTTTCTTTATCTTCTAATTTGTACTTCTGCTTCAATACAGCTCAGATGCATATATTGTACTTTTTTTTAAATTCACTAGTGCAGACAGTGGATAAAACAATTCATACAGATAATAATTTAATCATATAAATCATGTACTCCTTCATTCATGTCGTTGCTTTGGACTGTATGAACATGCCCACCATCACCAAACAGTACATCAATAGGAATGCAACATATTAAACTGAATTTAGTTTTAAAAGGAAACAGAGCCTGTTATAAAATATATAAGTTAATATACCCAGAGTGACTAGATTAATTTTAACTGATATTATCTTGTTAGTTCTTCACAGTTCTTTACATGATGGTTCTGGGTCAGTAGAACCTGAAGAACATGATTAGACATACAGAGGTCTCTCCTTATCCTTGCTCTGTCCATCTGCATCTTGGCTCATTGCCATGCAGAGACAGGTCTGAGAGCTGAGCTGTGATTGGCTGTTGCCAGGCTGCAGGGCTGGCATGGAGCGAGTCTGAGATAAAGACAGCGAGTGGCTCAGCTTCCCTCTGAGAATAACAACGAGGCAGCAGGGAGATAAAAACATCAGCGGCAGAGAGACCAGCTAATACTGTGTCATTCTTCTAGCCCAGCTCCCTGAAGAGCACAGGCTCAGATTCTTTGTTGTGTCCCTTTTAGGGTTGCAAAGGGGCGGAAAATGTCCGGTACATTTCCGGAAAGTTTCCATGGGAAGTTAAGCTGTGGAATTTTGGAAATATTCGATGCAACATTTTAAAAAAAACATGAATTTTTTTTTTTTTTAAGAGAACAAGTTTTAACTATTTTATTGAACAATTATTTGTTTCATTGAAGAACGAAAACATGGAGGAATGCACAGTGCCTGTAGGGGGTGTGGTCTCAATAGCCATCAGAGTTGGCAGTAACGCGTTACTGTAATAATATTACTTTTGTCGGTAACGGAGTAGTGTAACGCGCTACTTTTATAATTCAGTAATCACACTACAGTTACTAACATTGCCCCGACACGCGTTACTTCGTTACTTACTAAAATCAGTCATAATCAAACCTCAACAAACACCTGCAAAGAACACATGCTAAGGTGAAGCTAACGCACAGCTATTTGTTGTTTGTTTATATCACGTAGTCTGTTCTTCTTCTCTGTTTTCCGGTTGTTGCCTGTTTTGAATGACGAATACACACTACCGCCGCCTGCTGGTAAGGAGAGTTATTGCCACTCACGCATGCGCAGTTCGTACGTGCTCGGCTGAAGTCTTTGCAGTGTCTGGTTCCAGTGCAACACATGGCCAACAGGAGAACACGCCGACGCAACAGCGTGAGCAGAGATAGACTGCGCAAAATACAGATATCAGGAGACAGAGGACAGCCACGGTCAGATAGGAAAACATTCAGGATCTGGATCAGTCTTATGCGACAATGGAAACTGAACTAAAGAGAACATTTGAAACTCTGGAAGTTTTGTGGTGCTCACACACATCCATATTCTGGATGGTTCACCTCACAACTCATTGGGTCTTTAGCTTCTTAAAGTGTTATATGGGTCTAAAACAGGCCAAAACTCCTGTAACGTTTATTTAAAGGGGACCTATCATGCAAAATGCACTTTTGTACGTCTTTTATACATGAATATGTGTCCCCGGTGTGTCAGGGAACTCACCAAGTGTCAGAAAACACAACCCTCTCTCTTTTCCTCCATACCCAAATCTCTAAAAACGGTGCTGCAACGGATCTGATCCAGACTGATCCAGATTTGAAATTGTTCTGACGTCAGAAACGGGGTGCTCCGCCTATATGGGCAACTCTCCACCCGAATGAGGCATGGTAACAGCATGGTAACATGACGCTCGTGCCCCGCCCCCCTCCTTTGCAGGGGGGCGTAGTCAGCTGCAGCTCATTTGCCACAGAATCAGCCCTTGTGAAAACAGGGCTGGAATAGAGCAAATAGAGCGAAATGAAGCATAGCTAAAATGCATGATCTGTTTGGTATTTTGAAAAAATACTATACAGACATGTTTTATATAGGTATGGCCCTACAATATATTATTCAAATATAGCATGATAGGTCCACTTTAAGAATCAAAAAGAGAAGAATCTTGGATTAAAGGAGACCAGAGAACTGGGTCAGACCTAAAAAACAAGGATAGCACTTTGGTTAACTATAATTAATTATGTTCTGAATTGTTTCAAAACAACAAGAGAACAATAACTTATAACTGTAAAATATAATACAATATGTTTTTTATAGCATTTTTAAAAACAATATTAGATAGTAGATAAAGACAAATTACACATCAGTATAAAATACCATACAGTATTGCAAAAAAGATCAATAACAAACACATTATTGTTAGATAAAAGCCTTGTACTTTATTTAAATTACAGAATATATATTTATTTATGCATTCAATTAGACATTTGCTAACATGAATTGCCACATTATATTCCTATTTATGTGCATTTATTAAAATGATCTGCTGAGCCTGAGACATTATTATAGTGCAGATTCCGAATACATTTTGGGTGAAAGTAGTGTCCTTTTTTTGGAGATCAGTGTGCTATATTATTTCTATCTGCCAGGGTATGTACAGTGTTTTACCGTGTGTAGCAACATTGTAAATAGTCCAGAAGGAATTATGTATTTTTAAAGGTCACCTATCAATGCACTTTTTGATGTCTTTTATACATTAATATGTGTCCCCGGTGTGTAAGGAGACTGTGTCAGAAAATAAAACCCTCTCTCTTTTCCTCCGTACCCACATCTCTAAAAACGGGGCTACAACGGAGCTGATCCAGATTTGCTGCGTCATGACGACATTACCAGAGGGGCTGGCTTTACGCCCACGGTCCTATGAGAAACTCGCTATCAGAAACAAAGCCCGTCGTGTTTTATCGAAATCAGTCAGAAGTCGCAACGGCTCATTTCAAAATAAACGTGGATTTGTGTAAAAAAATAGTTTTTCGGGGTTTGGGTGTTTTTAAACAAACAAAGTATTGGCTTTCAGAATATGAAACTTTTATTTCCAAATTCAGATGATAAATACAACTTTGAAGCTTGTAACGGCATAATTACAAGCGGAGAACGGAGTAACTTGACGTCACTGCGGGCATAACAACAGCCGGTGTTTCTCGTGAGTGTTTTCCCCGGGACACAAACACAATGCACACAAACGTACGTATACACACACACACACTCGCGAGCTTCCCCCAGACCAGTAATCCAAACGAAAATATCTTCCCTCCGTAGTATTTTGATAATTTTCTCTGCTCATAATCAATCAGATCAATGGATTCCGATGGAGGAAACTTTGAAGGCCTTTTTCTCAAAATGATGACTTGATGACAGTCATTATATAATGTGACATATTTTGCTGGCAGGATATAAAAGGTACTCACCTTGTGGTAAACCCTCGAGAGAGAAAGCGTTTGAGCTCCATACTGTTTCAGAAATAATGCTTGTTTTGTATTGGAACATGATATGGCGTTAAATCACGGCAGCGTTTAGCTGAGAATCTCGGTAGAATTCTGAGCTCCCCCCCCCCTTTTTTTTAAAGCTACGGACACAGAATCAGCACTTGTCTAACAGGGCTGAAATAGAGGGGTATGAGGCTTCAATGGGTGATCTGTTTGGTATTTTGAGCAAAACACTTCATAGACATGTTTTTTATATATCTGAGACATACAATATATGCCTACAAATAGTATAATAGGAGACCTTTAAGACAATGAAAAAACAGCACCTCCTCCAAATTCTGGTAATTGTTTGTATTTTTGCCTAAAAATGAGAAAAAACTTTTTTCCATTAAAGGTACTGCGACAAATAAAATCCAATAGAATCAAACCAGAACCAGAAGTAGGAAACCGTAGCATACTTTACTTCATCGTCTGTTTCACTCTTGAATCCTACTCAATGCTGAATTTACAAATACTAGGAACTAGCAATTTAAATCATTATTACATTATGAAATTGTTTACTTCTTCTGGAAACCAGTAGAGTTGCCCCCTGATGGCCATTAGATACATTGCAAGTGTAAGGCTCTTTGGCATACGTATACTGTATATACAGTAAAATACTATAACAGTAGTAACAGAACCAGGTGGTAATGGTATACTCAGTGCTGGAATTGGGCCGGTACTCACCGGTACGCAGTACCGGCACTTCTGGTTCTGACCCATGGAGTACCGGCACTTCTTGCTCAGTACCGGCATGCTGGCGGTACTCCGGTACTCATGCACCGTGCCAGTACTCAACACTCTCCCGCCGTTCTTATTATACATCCATATATATATATACAGCCGCCCGGTACTCAGTAGATGCGTCATGAGGTGCCGAACGGACATTCTCATCGCTCTAACCGCTGGAGT